TCTTTGATTTTCTTTGGTGGAAGAAAGTCCCAGTCTTCCTCAAGTTTACCACTTTCTACTTTCTCATTATCAATTCTAACTTCGTATGTGTTGTCAGGTTTCACAATTAAAGTGTACAAGTGACTCATCTCATCATCCTGCAAGAATATATTATTGACATGTAATTTTTAAATCGAAAAATTGAAAGTGGAATTTTTAAAGCATTTTTTACCAATTTCAACAAGGTACGGCATTCAATTAGCAGAATTATATAAATTATTATTATTGATAACCCATCTTCATCATTTGAAGGACTTTGATACAAAATCGACAACMTTCCTACAATGTCAATCAATACAAAACAAACTAAAAATATCTCATAGATTGCTTTCACTTTTTAGAGAATAAGGAATCAAAGTTGGTTGCCACACTGGACTGACCTTACTGTTTGTTAAATCCATTCATAATGCAGGAAAGACACTATTTTAACAAACATTACATAACTTGCATAATTTACTAATCAACTTACCTTGCATCTAATGTCTTTCTTTGTCAGTAGATTTTTGCCCTTGTAGTTAAATATAACATGTACTTTTTTGGTTCCAGGTCCACAAATATCAGGTCCTAGGAAACAGCAATACATACACCCTTATCAAATTTGTAAAATCTTGTGTACATCAAAACTAARCCAAAAATTGTATCACACACAACTCAGTTTCCAAGACAACTAAAAATTGATATTACACATGCAACACCTTGAGAAAAATACCAATTTAAACAACCTATTTGTCAGATATTCAAGCATCTGAGATGCATATATATATATATATATACCACACAATACAGTGTGTTTCATAAATGTAGTTGAGCAATAATTTGATTTATGCACGATATGTTTGCATATTTTTTTTTTCTTTTTGATTTTAGACTGTTTTGACATAATACAATCTTCTGGTCGGGGTTGTTGAAAGCCTGATTAGCGTTAATCCAGGGTTAACTCCATAGATTTTCTAGGAGTTAACCACATGCCCAGAGTTATTGAGACCACATGTAACAACTAGAATTCTTTTCACTGAACATGATTGAATTCTAATTTTTTAATACAACTTTTCAATRGAGCATGTTATGAATTTTTAATAGGAAAGATAAAAGACTAAATATTATATTTTGTTTTAGGAACAAAATATAAATAAAAAACAAAATAAAATAGCTTACCAAACATAATCATATAGGGACTGTCTCCATGGAGATTTTTTTGATCGACATCTTTACCAAAGATCTATGGAAAAAGGAAATGATTGATGATAGTGCCCTACCCAGCCCCCCATAGGGGGTTATGTCTCACACGGAACTCATACAAAATGCAAAAGTCACATTATATTAAAAAGAATTTGCACAATTTCTTACTTTAGCATAACCTCCACCACAATCTATGTTTTGCTCATGCTTCACACTAAACTGGACGACTAAATCTTTTCCCTCGTTTGAAAATGGCTTCTCGAACTTAGCTGAAACTCCGTAGAATTTTGCATCTTCGCTAGTTTGGATTCCTATAAATTTAGAGAAAATKATCAGTTCTATACATTTTTACAAACAAATCCACAAAATATTAYCAGCTGAAGTGACATTTGATTGTTTAAAGTGTTTTCGTTAGCATTCACTTTGCATGAATCGAGACGTKGAGTTGATCGTGTGGAGTTGATCGTACAAACCTTTATCTTTCTCTGCGTCTCCATAAAATTTACCGGCAGTCCATTTGAATTTTCCCATCTGACTACCTTTATAAGTTGAATAAATCCATCTATCTTCCCATTTACTATCTATTGAAAAAGAAACAAATTCTGAGTTTCGAGCAAACATAAAGAAAGAAGTTCAAAATCTAAGCTTACTTCCAAAGTCGAGACGAGAAAAATGGCTTGAAAATACAACTTACCGTCAAATCTTTCTACAAAATGGTCTGTTGCAAACACAGAAGATGCTAAACACGCTAAAACAAGGAAATATAAAGCCATTTTCACTTGCAGAGAAGCAAAAATCTACAATCCCGACTATAAAAGAATGGCTTTCAACTTCAAATGTGAAGTTTTGTCAGACCATGTGAATACAAAACTATTCGGACCGGCTTCTGCGTGGTRCACTCTGATTGGCCAGCCAGAATATTAACCAATAAAATCGTCTAAAATCAGGCACGTGGTACATATCATCCAATCAAAGTGTACCACACGTCTGGCCTGTTTTGCGGGATTTTGCCTCGCTTAAACGATATCCCGAGGGTTCGAACAGGAAATGAAAATTCAATAAATCATCTTTGAAGAAAATTRTTGAAAGAAAAACGTTACCTTCTAAAACAGCAACACATAATATACACATTACAYGTGTAAACAATTAAAGTATTCTTAAAAAGAAATAAAACAAATAATAACTAGAAAAGGGGTAAAAAACAAATACACTTATGGAGAAAATTGCATATTTTTRTCTATTTTTGGAAACTATGCCAACAGAATATGGTAAAGCTTGAAGAAATTCGAATAAAACCTCATTAAATAAATCAATGTTCACAGCTTAGACACTCAAAATGATTGTCTGTTTTGACATTTCAAATTTTATTGAGACCAAAACAAAGATTTAAATATTTAAAGTATAAACCAGTCAGCATGCGGGCAGATTATAATGAGCTGTTTGCTAGTAAATTACTTTTATGGACTGCAGTCCATTTATGTTTCAGTAATATTGACCTCAACAACATTTTGAACCATACATTACTTGTTTTTCAAAAATGGGGAAAAAAATAAATAAAAGGCTCTATTCTAAAGAATGACGTCACACAAAAAAACCTTTTTTCAAATAATATGAAATTTTTGATATCATATTTCGAAAGATGTAGACAATTAAAAAAAGCTTGCTCCGAAGGGACTGGAAACGAGGTTGTTTATGACCRACTTTAGTTTTTAACTTATCACCAAGCGTTTGTGCACCACAGGAAGCCCAAATATTATATATGTATGCACATCGTTGCTAATTGTTCAATGCTACTTAGTATACTTTTATGTGATCAAAAARCCGTGAAGCATCRGAAGCACATGCGCATGTGCAGATCGCATGCAGCTCCTAGTAGTATGTTTACGGTAACAGAATCAAAATGACCTTTCTAGCCACAGTGTGATGACCTTAGAACAGTCCAAAAGTTCAGAGGAGACGCTATACCATTGACAACAGCAAGAACGGGGATTCGGATCAACCTTGTCTGATACCCCTGACCAACCTTTCAGAATCGTACAGGAGGAGCCGACGGGATTTGTTCTTCTAAACAACTGTTCTTGTATACGATTTTTTTCATTGGAAAGGGATTTGAGCTACACTTGTTGATAATCTCACAAGCAAATGTGGCGCCTTAAATTACCTTCTTTAAAATAATTTTGTTCCTGGCAAACRCTTTTGAGGTCAAAAAGGGCTTATATATTATTTTTATGCATGATCAAGAACGGTTTATATATTTTTTATTATTTTTATTTAGTTAGGAATTTTTTATTTTCCTGGAAAAAGTATTTCCTTGCCTTGAATGTTCTTTTTTCCCMSAATTTCTCGCTGGAAACCAGTTGTAACTTTCAGCTGCCTGGGAAAGAAAAGATATATTTTYCCCAGGAACCCGTCGRCTCCTCCTAATAGTACTTACATTTGACGAAGAWTTATGGCGTCAGACCTTGCTATGTTTTCAACTTGACAGAGCGGGATGACTAACCGTCCAGCTGTTATGAGCTGTGCTAAGGAAACAATTGCGTTAGAAYTGATTACATGCAAAACAAAACGGTTTTAKAAAATTCATCCTTTCATCAAAACTGAAGGGTTTCGAGTGCGTATAAAGTAAATCTGTAATAATTGACAGAACTAGGGAATAGGTATATAGTTAGTTCTGGACACAAGGAGCAGTTGGTGTTTATGTTTGTTGTTTTTTAGACTTCTCATGATATTATGATAAAGTATAATTTTATAAATCTCTATTCTATTGATATAGGATGTCGTTTCATTCTTAAAAAWTATTAGATGATACTCGGGACTAGTGTATGAAACGTAATCATTGATATACCTGTTAAGCTAGATCGATTGGAGTCTTAGATCAATTATAGTAATTGAACATGAGCTGGAACAAGTGAAGGAAATGGACTTACAATAGGGATACCCTCTTCTTTGTACACCCTTTAGAAATCCATGTTTCGAGAAACTAAATTGCATAATTGCATAATTGAATCCTACAAAATCTRAATTTTTTCAGCAATAGTTTGTTGGTCAAACGTCGGACGCCATGGCAAATAATTCTTCAAATTCGAGTTTCATACTTGATGATTGTTCTAATCGACCAGAATCGGTTGATCCGACTCGTACCGTCCTTGCTGTTGTCAATGGTATAGCGTCTCCTCCAACTGTCGTTATAAACGCCTTGATCATTTGGGCTGTTCTTGGTGATGAAGATCTTCGATCATCTTGTTTTAACCTTTTGCTTGTAGCTTTAGCAGTGACCGATTTCCTAGTGGGACTGCTGGTCCAACCGCTGTATGCGTTCTACCTGAGATGTACTSTTATGAACAATTGTTTTAGMCTCTGTTTTCAATTATTTTCCGTATATTTTGTGGCAGCCTTGACCTGCTGTGGTCTGACGATATTTAGTCTTGCCTTATTGAGTTTGGAAAGRTACCTTGCTATTGAACAWTGGAACTTCTACCTTACTTATGTTACAGAAAAAAGAATCATGATAGTGACTTTACTGTATTGGTTAGGCAGCCTAACACTTTTGATCACTACCAGTGTTTTTGCGCTATTTAACAATCCTCGTCTGTTCACAGTTCCAGCAATGGTTTTCGCAGGTATCAACACTCTGATAATTTTGTACTGTTCTATCAAAGTAGAATTAACATCTTATCGTCAGCGTAGAACCATCGCCATTCAAGAAGAATCAGTGCATCAGCCCAACGAACAGCAACAACAAGAACAACGACTCCAGGAATACAAGCGAGTGTTTACGATGAACATGTTAGTGCTAATCTCGGTTCTGTTTTACWCTCCTATCATTATAGTGACAGTGATACAAGCTATCGAGGGCAGTGATGTCACCAGCGATTTTAAATATATCGCCATGCCTATCAGTATAACATTTATTCATCTTCAGTCTCTCATCAACCCGATCCTCTTCTCCCTGCGTTTATCTTACATTCGAACAAGCATCAAACACAAACTAGTAGCATTTTTTAATTGGAACTGAAGTTTATTTGAATCAATTACAATTGTCACTTCTTAACCAGTCTTTGCCCAAACTGATTTGAAGCTAGCTTTACCTCTTGGACTCAGAGAAGAACGATCGAAGCTAAGATCAAACAACTCCACGGCTACATGTTCCATGATCTTCAAGGTGAGTAAACTTTTGGTGATTCTCATAATGCCCCCATAACTCTTCTTTAAGGACTCTGAAACTCTTACGAAGTCAAAACGTGACAAACAGGTTTCTTTATCATATCGATTTGATTAAAAATCTGATTACAAAGTAAATCAAAATAAAAACAAATTTTCCAGCGAAGTGATCGATTATGATACAAAAAATAAGAGTACACTATTTTGTAAGTAAAATTTTATTTTCAACAATTATAGGTTTAAAGTCATTATTTCAAAAACCGTTGTCGTCACCACGACACAGTCCACAGTCTTGAGCCTGCAAAGAATSTCGGGGTTTCCATRCGTAATTAATATATTCAAAATATATTGTGGTTTGAATTCAATGCCGGCACTACTAATATACTATAGCGGGCATGTCTCGCCACGAGACATTTTCCTTGAAAAATATTCCACGCTTTCAAACCGTCAATGAATTTCAAAGCTATATTCGCTACGAGACCGAGAATAATCCAGTTTCGAATTCAATAATGCTCTGTGTCAGCCTCACGTATGCGCAAAATATTTCTAATTGTGCTGAATAAAAGTATGAGATTTCACATCAATTCTATTTTCTCTCTTTTCAAATTCCATGCGTTTTCTCGGGCGGTCAATGAAACAAAAGAATAAGTTGTTTGGTTTTGATTTTCTCGGACCAACCAGAACCCTAAATCGGAGTATTTTAAATTTTAAAAATTGAATATATAATTTTTTTATAAAAATCCCGAGATTCTTTGCAGGCTCAAGACCGTGGACTGTGTCCTGCCGACGACAACAATTTTTGAAATAGGTGCATTTCTCCCAGGAAACCGTCGGCTCTTTACAGTAGTTCTGTCGGTATTGTATAACTTTGAGTAATATTCTGATGTTTGAATCATGTAAGAACTATGTTTGAATCTCGTAAGAACTAGTACTGAAGACCTTTGAGTTCGTGGAACGGCACGTTCCGAAAATTACGCTGAACATCTTTTATTGTGGGCCTACCACGAACGGGCTGTGTTTGTAAGTGAGAAAAGCGTTCTAGAGTTGTTTTCCTTCATTTTCTTGATCAGGTTGCTTTTTTTGGTCACAAAAAAACAGGTCTCAGTATCTAAYAATCAAGCCGCCAATAGCAACACAACTCGAAGATTGATTGTGATTACGATTTAACAAATAGAATTTCAGTAAGGAAACGATTTATAAATATTTTTTTTTTCGTTGAAATCTATTATTATTTAAACTTTGGTTCTTGATAAGTATAGCGAGCGCTGGCGTAATATATCACAGTCTTAGTCACGATAATGTACAATTTGCCATCGTAGCGCTAGCCCGGTGGTCAAAACGTGGTCATTCTAGAATATATTAATGTACAGAACAATACATGTTAAAAATGAAAGTAAGGACAAGAAAACTGACACTGCGACCATCGGCAACGCAGGCGCTACCAATTTGAAGCCTAATATTCACGAAAAGATCTTCCACTTGTATTTTTAGACGTGGTCTTCCGCAGGAAGCCCACGTAACAACTAGATCTATCTCAAGATCCATCTCAAGATCCAAGTAACCTGGAACACGGTAAATATCCCAACCTTAGAATAAATGCCAAACCGTTTCGAGAATTGGCTTCAATGGTTCATAAATATGCAGCGTTGTTTCGCATGAGTCATGATAGGGAAGCACCACACATCCAATACCAT